AAGGCCATTTTCTTTAGATTTTGATAGCTACAGGTCGCGGATTCGGCCTGAAGCTATTTTTCAACAATGATTAAGTCCATTAAGCACCTATTTGGGCGGATTTATTCCTGGTCAATTTTTGGCAGATTCCAAAGGGGTACCATGACTAATTTCGGGCGATTTTTCCGTAATGCCATTTTCATTGGATTCTTGAGGATACAAATCACGAAATCAGGCCGAGGCTATTCTCCACCGACAATGAAGTCTATTGATCCTATTCTCCACGGATGATAAGTCCATTAAGCACCGATTTAGGCCAATTTATTTTCGAATGGCATTTTCGTAATTTATGGGGCGATGAAAGGCCATTTTCTTTGGATTTTGAAAGCTACTGGTCACGGATTCGAACTGAGGCTATTCTTCAACGATGCTTAAGTTCATTAAGCACCGATTTGGGCGAATTTATTCCGGGTCAATTTTTGGCAGATTCCAAAGGGGTACCATCACATCTTTCGGGCGATTTTTCCGAAATGCCATTTTTCTTTCGATTCTTGAGGCTACAGATCACGGAATCAGGCCGAGGCTACTCTCAATCGATAATGAAGTCTATTGATCCTATTCTCCACGGATAACAAGTCCATTAAGCACCGATTTGGGCTAATTTATTTTCGGATGGCATTTTCGTAATTTATGGTGCGAACGAAAGGCCATTTTCTTTGGATTTTGAAGGCTACATGTCACGGATTCGGCATGAGGCTATTTTTCAACAATGATTAAGTCCATTAAGCACCGATTTGGGAGGATTTATTCCGGGTCAATTTTTGGCAGATTCCAAAGGGGTACCATCACAGATTTCGTGCGATTTTTCCGAAATTCCATTTTCAATGGATTCTGGCGTATACAGATCACGGAATCAGGCCGAGGCTAGTCTCCACCGACAATGAAGTCTATTGCTCCTATTCTCCACGTATGATAAGTCCATTAAGCAACGATTTAGGCCAATTTATTTTCTTATGGCATTTTCGTAATTTATGGGGCGACGAAAGGTCATTTTCTTTGGATTTTGAAGGTTGTCACGGATTCGGCCTGAGGCTATATTTCAACAATGATTAGGTCCATTAAGCATCGATTTGGACTGATTTATTCCGCGTCAAATTTTTGGCAGATTCCAAAGGGGTACCATCACAGATTTCGTGCGATTTTTCCAAAATGCCATTTTCTTTCGATTCTTGTGGCTACAGGTCACGGAATCAGGCCGTAGCTATTCTCCACCGATAATGAAGTCTATTGATCCTATTCTCCACGGATAATAAATCCATTAAGCACCGATTTGGGCCAATTTATTTTCGGATGTCATTTTCGTAATATATGGGCCGAACGAAAGGCCATTTTCTTTAGATTTTGAAAGCAATAGGTCGCGGATTCGGCCTGAAGCTATTTTTCAACAATGATTAAGTCCATTAAGCACCTATTTGGGTGGATTTATTCTTGGTCAATTTTTGGCAGATTCCAAAGGGGTACCATCACTGATTTCGGGCGATTTTTCCGTAATGCCATTTTGATTGTATTCTTGAGGATACAGATCACGGAATCAGGCCGAGGCTATTCTCCACCGACAATGAAGTCTATTGATCCTATTCTCCACGGATGATAAGTCCATTAAGCACCGATTTGGGTCAATTTATTTTCGGATGGCATTTTCATAGTTTATGGGCCGAACGAAAGGCCATTTTCTTTCGATTTTGAAAGCTACAGGTCGCGGATTCGGCCTGCGGCAATTTTTCAACAATGATTAAGTCCATTAAGCACCTATTTGGGCGGATTAATTCCTGGTCAGTTTTTTGCAGATTCCAAAGGGGTACCATCACTAATTTCGGGCGATTTTTCCGAAATGCCATTTTCATTGGATTCTTGAGGATACAGATCACGGAATCAGGCCGAGGCTATTCTCCACCGACAATGAAGTCTATTGTTCATATTCTCCACGGATGATAAGTCCATTAAGCACCGATTTGGGCCAATTTATTTTCAAATGGCATTTTCGTAATTTATGGGGCGACGAAAGGCCATTTTCTTTGGATTTTGAAAGCCACAAGTCACGGATTCGACCTGAGGCTATTCTTCAACGATGCTTAAGTTCATTAAGCACCGATTTGGGCGAATTTATTCCGTGTCAATTTTTGGCAGATTCCAAAGGGGTACCATCACACATTTCGGGCGATTTTTGCGAAATGCCATTTTCTTTCAATTTTTAAGGCTACAGATGACGGAATCAGGCCGAGGCTATTCTCCATCGATAACAAGTCCACTAAGCACCGATATTTGCTAATTTATTTTTGGATGGCATTTTCGTAATTTATGGGGCGAACAAAAGGCCATTTTCTTTGGATTTTGAAGGCTACATGTAACGGATTCGGCCTGCGGCAATTTTTCAACAATGATTAAGTCCATTAAGCACCTATTTTAGCTGATTTATTCATGGTCAATTTTTGGCAGATTCCAAAGGGGTACCATCACTGAATTCGGGAGATTTTTTCGAAATGCGATTTTCATAGGATTCTTGAGGATACAGATCACGGAATCAGGCCGAGGCTATTCTCCACCGACAATGAAGTCTATTGATCCTATTCTCCACGGATGATAAGTCCATTAAGCATCGATTTAGGCCAATTTATTTTCAGATGACATTTTCGTAATATATGGGGCGACGAAAGGTCATTTTCTTTGGATTTTGAAGGTTACAGGTCACGGATTCGGCCTGAGGCTATTTTTCAACAATGATTAAGTCCATTAAGCATCGATTTGGGCGGATTTATTCCGGGTCAATTTTTGGCAGATTCCAAAGGGGTACCATCACACATTTCGGGCGATTTTTCCGAAATCCCATTTTCTTTCAATTCTTGAGGCTACACATCACGGAATCAGGCCGAGGCTATTCTCCATCGATAATGAAGTCTATTGATCCAATTCTCCACGTATAACAAGTCTATTAAGCACCGATATTTGCGAATATATTTTCGGATGGCATTTTCGTAATTTATGGGGCGAACGAAACGCCATTTTCTTTGGATTTTGAAGGCTACATGTCACGGATTCGGCCTGAGGCTATTTTTCAAGAATGATTAAGTCCATTAAGCACCGATTTGGGCGGATTTATTCCGGGTCTATTTTTGGCAGATTCCAAAGGGGTACCATCACAGATTTTGGGCGATTTTTCTGAAATGCCATTTTCAATGGATTCTTGCGGATACAGATAACGGAATCAGGTCGAGGCTAGTCTCCACCGACAATGAAGTCTATTGATCCTATTCTCCACTGATGATAAATCCATTAAGCAACGATTTAGGCAAATTTATTTTCGGATGGCATTTTCGTAATTTATGGGGCGACGAAAGGGCATTTTCTTTGGATTTTGACGGCTTCAGGTCACGGATTCGGCCTCAGGCTATTTTTCAACAATGATTAAGTCCATTAAGCATCGATTTGGGCGGATTTATTGTAACACCCTACCCTATACGTTTTGCCTAATCATATTGTTCATACAATTGCAGCGGAATTCATCTCGGGTGTTACATTAATTATCAAAATTTACTCAAATAAAATTTCGACATGAATTACTCGCGTAATGGGCTAACAGTTCTTGCAACTTATCCTGCAAAATAATTCATCACAAACATATATACTCACAACCATATGCATTGGCTTTATTTAGCCATAGCCACACTTTCATACTCCACAACTGCATACCATACTCGTCACAACTTACATAGTTACACAACATATACACATATCATCAACTTTCCACACATGTGGATATCTCACACTACATCAGAGCTAGTATGCACATGAAAAACGTTCTCAAAACATTTTTACAAAAAGGTGTGGATCACTGGCCAAAATCCCGAGTAGTAGTCCAAGCACAGAATAGTTGAAGACCATACCTCATCCTGACTTCAACTCTAGCTCCTCTCCCACCTAACACTTATCTACTGCTGCTGTTGACGATCTGCTTACACATAGCATAAGCAGAGAAAAAGAATAAAAGAGGGTCAGCTCATAGCTGAGTGAGATAATCATAGCATCGTGAGTTCATAACAGAGCATACCTCTACCATACATCTAGCAAACAAGCCAAAGCACTAGGATCAGACCTCAGGCATCCGACATCCCAATAGGCAAAAGACTCAACCACCTTGACTTATGCATATGCATCTTATCATGTTTTACTTATAGGCGCCTGGCTACTCCCATGCTAATAACTCTCCCGGGAAACATACCCTACATCCCATCGGATGTAGTCATACATACCCCAACATCCCGTCGGATGTGGTCATACATACCCCACACCACTATGGGTGTAGTCATACCCCGACACCGCTCTGGGTGTGGTCATATCTCATAAGAAATCTTCAGTCACCACCACAAGAGAGGTGTGACTATCATACATATCATAATAGAGTAATAGCATAGGGAGCCCTAATTACTATGTAGTTGACCGTGAGACCACAACACTCATATTTGGTATCCTTATACATGATTCATATCTCATCTTGCTTAATCATAATTCATTACTTGCACATGTACTTGACCTGGCCATGATTGGCTCAACATAGGTATATCAGGAGTCGTATAATTGCACTTCCTCGGGATAAACCCTCGTGCAAGTCATCCTCCTTAAACATCATAATATCACCAGGGAATATATATTTTCCCACTTGTGCATCCAAATACAACAATCATGAAAAATCATACCTAATCACCTTCTCGAACCATCGTAAAGCATATTAACAGTCAAGCCCACAATTTGCAACATATACACAATCATCAGCATAAACAAGGTTCATATCGATTAGGGCAAGTCAATAATATCATACAGCAATCCAGGGTTCAACATATAGCACAAAAGTTCATACACCCCTAATCATGCTATTATAGTTCACCTAGATCAATTCTAAGCATCAATATAATTATCGTGATACGACAAACCCGGTATGCCCTGCTAATGCCTCACTAGTTCTGGTTGTTCAAACACCGGTTTAACCTTCCCGTACTAAAACGTCAATTTCACGAACGAACCCCGAATTAAAATCCGAGACCTTCCTAATATCCCCTGCGGTATCCCCGTCAATATTAGTTCTAGGCTCCGGGTCAAATTCTCGATAAAAACACATCAAACCCTGGCTGGAGCTAAATTCAGCGATTTGGACCCCGACCTAAATAATTGCCGAAATTCAGGGATTAGAACTAGAGGATTGATTACCTCGCTGCAGGAAGCTCGTATATGAAATTTGGGCTCAATCCGGCTTCCGGATACTCCGATACCCTAATTTGGCTTATCGGGAATTCAAGAAATTCCTGAACCAAAAACTCGTTTTAAAGCTCTAAATCGATAAATCACGATGTATAGATGAATTAGGCATTACTTACGGGATTTTTGGATCATTAGGGCTCAAGATTGGAGCTTTAGAAATTTTCCACAGAAGCTTCCCTAAACTTTCAGCGCTCTGCCTATGCTCTCGGTCCGGGGAAATGAGAAAAGAAAGAACAAACTGAAATGGGAAAAAGATGACAGGGGAAAGAATTATATAGGTGGTCTATGGCCGCCTAATGTAATATATATGTATATATATATAATATATTATATATATATAATCCGTATACTTATCCGATCAATCGATAATCCGATTTTCGTCGAAATACTATCAAAACACTCGATTTTAAATCGTAAACTTTCTAGCGATCCAAATATGGGTTTTGCCGGAATGGGATGTTATATTTATTCCGGGTCAATTTTTGGCAGATTCCAAAGAGGTACCATCACAGATTTCGGGAGATTTTTCCAAAATGCCATTTTCTTTCGATTATTGAGGCTATAGATCACGGAATCAGGCTGCAGCTATTCTCCACCGATAATGAACTCTATTGATCCTATTCTCCACGGATGATAAGTCCATTAAGCACCGATTTGGGTCAATTTATTTTCGATGCCATTTTCGTAATTTATGGGCCGAATGAAAGGTCATTTTCTTTGGATTTTGAAGGTTACAGGTCACGGATTCGGCCTGAGGCTATTTTTCAACAATCATTAAGCACCGATTTGGGCGAATTTATTCCGTGTCAATTTTTGGCAGATTCCAAAGGGGTACCATCACACATTTCGTGCGATTTTTCCGAAATGTCATTTTCTTTCAATTCTTGAAGCTACAGATCACGGAATCAGGCCGAGGCTATTCTCCATCAATAATGAAGTCTATTGATCCTATTCTCCACGAATAACAAGTCTATTAAGCACCGATATTTGCTAATTTATTTTCAGATGGCATTTTCGTAATTTATGGGCCGAACGAAAGGCTATTTTATTCCTGGTCAATTTTTGGCAGATTCCAAAGGGGTACCATCACTGATTTCGGGAGATTTTGTCCGAAATGCCATTTTCATTGGATTCTTGAGGATACATATCACGGAATCAGGCCGAGCTATTCTCCACCGACAATGAAGTCTATTGATCCTAATCTCCACGGATGATAAGTCCATTAAGCAATGATTTAGGCCAATTTATTTTCAGATGGCATTTTCGTAATTTATGGGGCGATGAAAGGTCATTTTCTTTGGATTTTGAAGGTTACAGGTCACGGATTCGGCCTGAGGCTATTTTTCAACAATGATTAAGTCCATTAAGCACCTATTTGGGCTGATTTATTCCTGGTCAATTTTTGGCAGATTCCAAAGGGGTACCATCACTGATTTCGAGCGATTTTTCCGAAATGCCATTTTCATTGGATTCTTGAGGATACAGATCACGGAATCAGGCCGAGGCTATTTTCCACCGACAATAAAGTCTATTGATCCTATTCTCCACGGATTATAAGTCCATTAAGCAATGATTTAGGCCAATTTATTTTCGGATGGCATTTTCGTAATTTATGGGGCGATGAAAGGTCATTTTCTTTCGATTTTGAAGGTTACAAGTCACGGATTCGGCCTGAGGCTATTTTTCACCAATGATTAAGTCCATTAAGCATCGATTTGGACGGATTTATTCTGGGTTAATTTTTGGCCGATTCCAAAGGGGTACCATCAAAGATTTCGGGCGATTTTTCCAAAATGCCATTTTCTTTTGATTCTTGAGGCTACAGATCACGGAATCAGGCCGTAGCTATTCTCCACCGATAATGAAGCCTATTGATCCTATTCTCCACGGATGATAAGTCCATTAAGCATAGATTTGTGCCAATTTATTTTCGGATGGCATTTTCATAATTTGTGGGCCGAACGAAAGGCCATTTTCTTTGGATTTTGAAAGCTACAGGTCGCGGATTCGGCCTGAAGTTATATTTCAACAATGATTAAGTCCATTAAGTACCTATTTGGGCGGATTTTTTCCTAGTTAATTTTTGGCAGATTCCAAAGGGGTACCATCACTGATTTCGGGCGATTTTTCTGAAATGCCATTTTCATTGGACTCTTTAGGATACAGATCATGGAATCAGGGCGAGGCTATTCTCCACCGACAATGAAGTCTATTGATCATAATCTCCACGGATGATAAGTCCATTAAGCAGCGATTTGGGCCAATTTATTTTCGAATGGCATTTTCGTAATTTATGGGGCGACGAAAGGCCATTTTCTTTGGATTTTGAAAGCTACAGGTCACGGATTCGACCTGAGACTATTCTTCAACGATGCTTAAGTTCATTAAGCACCGATTTGGGCGAATTTATTCCGGGTCAATTTTTGGTAGATTTCAAAGGGGTACCATCATAGATTTCGGGCCATTTTTCCGAAATTCCATTTTCTTTCGATTCTTGAGGCTAGAGATCACGGAATCAGGCCGAGGCTTTTCTCCATCGATAATGAAGTCTATTGAACCTATTCTCCACGGATAACAAGTCCATTAAGCACCGATTTGGGCTAATTTATTTTCAGATGGCATTTTCGTAATTTATGTGGCGAACGAAAGGCCATTTTTTTTGGATTTTGAAGGCTACATGTCACGGATTCGGCCTGAGGCTATTTTTCAACAATGATTAAGTCCATTAAGCACCGATTTGGGCGGATTTATTCCGGGTCAATTTTTGGCAGATTCCAAAGGGGTACCATCACAGATTTCGGGAGATTTTTCCAAAATGCCATTTTCTTTCGATTATTGAGGCTATAGATCACGGAATCAGGCTGCAGCTATTCTCCACCGATAATGAAGTCTATTGATCCTTTTCTCCACGGATGATAAGTCCATTAAGCACCGATTTGGGTCAATTTATTTTCGATGGCATTTTCGTAATTTATGGGCCGAACGAAAGGTCATTTTCTTTGGATTTTGAAGGTTACAGGTCACGGATTCGGCCTGAGGCTATTTTTCAACAATCATTAAGCACCGATTTGGGCGAATTTATTCCGTGTCAATTTTTGGCAGATTCCAAAGGGGTACCATCACACATTTCGTGCGATTTTTCCGAAATGTCATTTTCTTTCAATTCTTGAAGCTACAGATCACGGAATCAGGCCGAGGCTATTCTCCATCAATAATGAAGTCTATTGATCCTATTCTCCACGAATAACAAGTCTATTAAGCACCGATATTTGCTAATTTATTTTCAGATGGCATTTTCGTAATTTATGGGCCGAACGAAAGGCTATTTTATTCCTGGTCAATTTTTGGCAGATTCCAAAGGGGTACCCTCACTGATTTCGGGAGATTTTTCCCAAATGCCATTTTCATTGGATTCTTGAGGATACAGATCACGGAATCAGGCCGAGCTATTCTCCACCGACAATGAAGTCTATTGATCCTATTCTCCACGGATGATAAGTCCATTAAGCAACGATTTAGGCCAATTTATTTTCAGATGACATTTTCGTATTTTATGGGGTGATGAAAGGTCATTTTCTTTGGATTTTGAAGGTTACAGGTCACGGATTCGGCCTGAGGCTATTTTTCAACAATGATTAAGTCCCTTAAGCACCTATTTGGGCTGATTTATTCCTGGTCAATTTTTGGCAGATTCCAAAGGGGTACCATCACTGATTTCGAGCAATTTTTCCGAAATGCCATTTTCATTGGATTCTTGAGGATACAGATCACGGAATCAGGCCGAGGCTATTTTCCACCGACAATGAAGTCTATTGATCCTATTCTCCACGGATGATAAGTCCATTAAGCACCGATTTGGGTCAATTTATTTTGGATGGCATTTTCGTAATTTATGGGCCGAACGAAAGGCCATTTTCTTTGGATTTTGAAAGCTACAGATCGCGGATTCGGCATGAAGCTATTTTTCAACAATGATTAAGTCCATTAAGCACCTATTTTGGCGGATTTATTCCTGGTCAATTTTAGGCAGATTCCAAAGGGAAACCATCACTGATTTCGGGCGATTTTTCCGGAATGCCATTTTCATTGGATTCTTGAGGATACAGATCACGGAATCAGGCTGAGGCTATTCTCCACCGACAATGAAGTCTATTGATCCTATTCTCCACGGATGATAAGTCCATTAAGCAACGATTGAGGCCAATTTATTTTCAGATGGCATTTTCGTAATTTATGGGGAGACGAAAGGTCATTTTCTTTGGATTTTGAAGGTTACAGGTCACGGATTCAGCCTCAGGCTATTTTTTAACAATGAATAAGTCCATTAAGCATCGATTTGGGCGGATTTATTCCAGGTAAATTTTTGGCAGATTCCAAAGGGGTACCATCACAGATTTCGGGCGATTTTTCCAAAATGCCATTTTCTTTCGATTCTTGAGGACACAGATCACGGAATCAGGCCGTATCTATTCTCCACCGATAATGAAGTCTATTGATCCTATTCTCCACGGATGATAAGTCCATTAAGCACCGATTTGGCCAAATTTAATTTCGGATGGCATTTTCGTAATTAATGGGCCGAACGAAAGGCTATTTTCTTTGGATTTTGAAAGCTACAGGTCGCGGATTCGGCCTGAATCTATTTTTCAACAATGATTAAGTCCATTAAGCACCTATTTGGGTTGATTTATTCCTGGTCAATTTTTGGCAGATTCCAAAGGGGTACCATCACTGATTTCGGGCGATTTTTCCGAAATGCCATTTTCATTGGATTATTGAGGATACAGATCACGGAATCAGGCCGAGGCTATTCTCCACCGACAATGAAGTCTATTGATCCTATTCTCCACGGATGATAAGTCCATTAAGCAACGATTTAGGCCTATTTATTTTCAAATGGCATTTTCGTAATTTATGGGGCGACGAAAGGTCATTTTCTTTGGATTTTGAAGGTTACAGTTCACGGATTCGCCCTGAGGCTATTTTTAAACAATGATTAAGTCCATTAAGCATAGATTTGGGCGGATATATTCCGGGTCAATTTTTGGCAGATTCCAAAGGG